ACTATTTTTTTAGAAAAAAAAAAGGTTACTTAGAAAAATAAAATAAAATAAAAACATATTTTTTTAAAAAAAAACCTTTTTAAAATAAAATGAAAACTTATTATTATTATTTTTTTTAAAGTTACTTAGAAAAATATAATAGAATAAAAAATTATTTTAAAAAAGGTTCTTTTAAAAAATTAAATAAAATAAAAATTTATTTTAAAATATGCATTTTTAAAATTAAAAAAATATTTTTTATTTTTTAAATTTATTTTATATATGTAATATAAAGTTACCGTTTTACCTATTTTTAAAATTAGTAAAAATGGTGAAAAGAAATCGGATGGCTATGGTAAAATGTTACATGAAATTATGTAGCCATGTTGGAACGTTATATGTAATTGAATGATCATGATGAAGTAAAATCAAATTAGATGATCATAATAACACTAAATATAAAATTAGTTGATCATCGGTGAGTTTAATATGTGGAAAATGGAAGGGAAATGAAATTGGAAGTGATAAGAGGGATGGGGAACCACTACTAAAGAGTCAAATTACATAGTGCTCCTCAAAGTATGCGAGACTTTTTCTATGTGATTTTATTGTTTTAAATAAAAAGAAATTATATTAAGCCCATGTTTGGTACACATTAAAATTTTCATTTTCATTCTTCTACTCATTTTCAACCACACATTTTTCAATAAAATAATATTTTTCATCATAAAAATAATTTTTCCTTCTCTTTCAACCACACATTCTCTATCAATCTACTATTACATAATACATTCTTCCAAAATAATGTGGTTCAAACACAAGCTCCTGTTTTGTGTAAATAAAAATTTTAATAAAAATTTAAGTCAAAATTAACAATTAATTTTAACTAACAAATTTCATCGAATTCATAAATCACATAAGCTCTTGTTTGATCCTCATTTTTTACAAAATACATTTTTTCTTTTTTTCTTTTTTCAATCACATATTTTTCAATAAAATAATGTTACGCGCAAACTCAAAACTTGTCCTTATTTTTTAAATATACATTTTCAATCAATCTATTATTCCAAAATATATTCTACACAAAAAATATGGCACAAATAAACTCAATTTTTATCATAATTTACTAAAAACTTGATTTTTTAACTATACCAAATATGAATTGAAATATCTTTTTAAGTTCACTCGACATGGTACCAACAGAAAAATTAATGGATTGTGTAATATCAATGAATCCCAAAATCACGAGGACTCAATAGTATGATCATAGAGTAATGCTATTCATCCCCACTAGGATTACAAATGCATTCTAGATGGCTTAATTTCATCTATCATTATTGCCACATTAACGCCACCTAAAATGTGTTTGTAACTCCACTGAGGATGAATAACATTACTCATGATTATATGCCCAAAATTGAGATTGTACTAGACTCGACACGAGCAATCAAAACATGTGTCTTGTTAGTTCAATAAAATTTACTTTACGATCTTGCTTTTAACTGATCGAGTAAAGACATTGGCTCCAATGATTCTATATTTCGTACAACTATATCATTTTCCATTCAAGAAAGAGTTTTAAGATCGAAGTTATGGTAAATATTAAATGAAATTTAAATCTTAGAAACCATAATCTAAATCATCACACTTCGATAAAATACTACTACAATATTTCAACTTATCCCTGCCTGATATAATCCTATTAGTCCACATCATGGATTCCACCAGTAGTGTAGCCATGAAGTAAATTTGCGTTTTCTGTTTGGATACTAGAGCTTGGGCTTGAATTTTAGATA